CATCCCATCCCATCCATCCCATTCCATCCATCCCATTCATCCCATTCCATCCCATCCCATCCACCCCATCCATCGCATCCCATTCTATCCATCCCACCCCATCCATCCCATCCCATCCCATCCCATCCCATCCATCCCATTCCATCCCATCCCATCCATCCCATCCCATCCCTCCCATCCCATCCCACCACATCCCATCCCATCCCATCTATCCCATTCCATCCCATTCCATCCCATCCCTCCCATCCCATCCCACCACATCCCATCCCATCCCATCCCATCCATTCCATCCCATCCCATCCCATCCATCCCATCCCCTCCCAACCATCCCATCCCATCCATCCCATCCAACACATCCAACACATCCCATCCCATCCCACTGCCTGACACTCATCACTTTGAAGACTCCTTGTCCCAAAGAACTGCCTTACACTTCATCGTATGGAAAGACTCTACTTTGGCAGAGATTTTTCTAACTCTTTCATATTTATTGTCTCGTCAAAAAGGAAATTTCACTTGTGAGACTCAGCCAGGTGTGAGGGAAAGGAGCCCATGAAGAAGCACCAGCCCAGGTCTTTGCCTGGCAATAAACCTGGAGTCTTCTGAATGGAGTCTCAGCTATAAAGACGGGACTGAAGGCAGCATGGCACCCTCTGCAGGGGACCGATGGTGTTCCCACCCAGCCCTGTCCTCGCTTGCCATGGGACCCTTTGCCTCTGTCATTCTGCATGTGCAATAGTGTCTGTCTTGACTTTGGAAGTGGCTTATTTGGTCCTGATTTGTCAGGAAACTTCTAGGCAATGTGGCCATCAGGTTTGACAAGGGGTAACTGATGAGTCCTTGTGCCTAGTACTGGGCCTGGGATGGAGTCCACTCCCCAAACTGTGGATGACTGTCACCTGCTTGCCACATTCATATGTGGAAGCTGGTGGCTGCAGTCCCTGAGGCCTTAGAAGGGAGTATGTCTTTGAGGTGCCCGGCGCAAAATAAGTCATACTAGCTGGTACAGCCTAGCAAGGTTAGAAGGAACCTAAAGACGAAAGACTAGGAGGTCCTCCTGCACGTGAAAAGCTGAGGCCCAGATGAAATGAGGAACTCTCCCAAGGTCTGTAGTCAGTCAGTGGCACCCAGAGACTCTGCCCATGTGCCCTGCCCATGGGGCCACTCCACAGATTACTGGGATGGGGACAGTTGGGCCTGTATGGCCCTAGGATCACCTGTGGAGTGAGCTCCACTCAACAGAAGTCTAACGTGGCAGCTTTGGTTCGGGGCTGGGCACGTAGGGCTCCCATTTGCAGTGATGAGGTGCCATTCCTGGCACACAGCAGGCTCGGGCTGTCTGGGCTGCTCATTCAGTGCAGTTTATGGAAGAGCCGGCTCCTGCTGATGTGGCGAATTTGGTTTGCTCTCGTCCCCCTGCCCTGCCCATTCGACTGTTCCCCTGACCTCTACAGAAACACGTCCAGGCCCTGCCAGCTGGCAGCAATGCTGAGCTGGTCAGACCCTAGCCCTGGAGGGGCCCAGGGGATGGAAGACCCTGGAGAGAAAGGCTCTTCTGCTTTGTGACTATGCCAGCACAGCCAGGGCCCTACTTCCTGTCATGCCCACAAGCCTGAGTCCCCAGTCTCTCTTTTGAGGCTCAAGGGGTCGGCTGTGGCCACTCAGGGCTCCCAGCCTGGAGAGCCAGCTTCATCACCCTGGACCCTCCTCCGGAGCAAATGGCCCTTGAGACCACCACAGCTAACCCTTCATGGGCATGAGAGGGCAGCACTTGGCTCAAGGGCAGAGAGGCTGAAGGCAGTGTGGCACATTCTGGGCAGCATGAGCAGCATCGGGCTCAGGGGGCAGAGCAGGGCGAGAATACACAGAGGAAGAGGAAGCAGAGCTCGAGGCAGCTGTGGGCGAGGGGCGTAAGGAAGCCCTTACCACAATGCCACACTCGCCTGGTCCCTGAGGGCCACTAGGATTTGGCAGTGGGGCCCTGGGCTTCCGCACTGAAGGTGGAGCCAACCCCTGAAGGAAACAGGGCTGCACACCCCAGACCATTCTTGTGCTGTTTGAGGACCACCCACCGCGCCTCTCCTGGCAGATGACTTGAGAGCTACTGCTGCTTGGCTCCTGTTCAGGTGGTGCCAGGTACTTATAGGAACGTTGGCGCATTCCATCCTCACAGCAGTCCTGAAAGGTAGAATTTTTTTTTAACTATCATTTTACAAATGATGAAACTGAGGCAGCTCAGAGAGGTTAGCTGAGCTGCCCAAGGTCTGTCAGAAAACTCCTAAGGGGTGAGAGGCAAGGTCCAACCCCAAAGCAGCTGGTCCCCTTGCCCCTCCCTCCCAACAGGCCATCTGCCTGCCCTGAAGCTGTTCGGCTTTAGATGCACTCTGTCCCACCCTCTTGAGTCCACCGGTGCCAGCTGTCTCCCCGACACTCCCCAGCCTGAGCCAGGCCGTTAGCACTCTGTAGGAGGGCTCATGTTCTCCTGTTATCAGTGATCGCTTTGAACAGACAGTCCCTGGCAGCCCCTGAGCTCCACATTCTCTACGTGAGCAGCCCTGGGCAGGCAGGTGGGTGTGCTGCTGGGCAGCAGCAGGTACAGTGAGTGCTTGCCCCTGGCTTCTGCCCATACTTAGCACTCCACCAACGCTTGCCACCCCCAATGTGCAGAGGGCAGTCTGGATGATCTTGGTGTACCAGGACACATATGGTCACCTGCAAGACACTACAAATGAATGAAGTGACAGCATTTGCTTGCCTTTATCCCCAGAAGCCCTGCTGAATCAACTGAGAAGAGACCTGCGGAGCAATCACCATGAGTATCTCAGCTCTTGGAGGCAGCACCAAAGGTGAGGCCTGGGCTCCCTGGTGTCCCGGGCTCTGCTTCGGGCTGTTTTCTTCCAAGCCTGCCCCTACAGGCCGCAAGCACTGTCCCAGCAGCAAAGGGAGAGCAGCATACTGGGAGGACTGGAACGGAGGCCGAGGGTCCTGGGGCTGCGTTCCTCTTTTGAGGCTGTTGGCTTTTCCTACCACAGGGAAGCCTCTGCCATCAGGTGAGGAGGAGCGCAATAACGTCCTCAAGCAGATGAAAGTGCGAACCACGCTGAAGGGGGACAAGAGCTGGATCACCAAGCAGGATGAATCGGAGGGTCGCACCATGTAAGGCAAGGAGGCCGGGAGGGACCGCAGCAACGTGGGGGCGTGCAATCCATGGGGGCCTGACCATACCTGGGGATGCAAAGGGGCTTCCACCGTTCAGAGCTCCACCAGGCCATGCAGAGGGCAGAGCATGGGAAAGGCTATCCAGCAATGTCACAGGGTGGGAGGGCCCCTGGTTGCCTGGGAAGGAGAATATGAGGCACAAATGGCAAGACTAGCTGGGCAGCCTCTAGGATGGAGGCCACAGGGTGGCAGGTGGCAGGGAGTCTTGGAGCCACTCTTTCAGGATGCCTCTTTCCCCCAGAGAGCTGCCCTCAGGTCGGAGTCGTGCCACATCCTTTTCATCAGCTGGGGAGGTTCCGAAGCCCAGGTAAGAGGTGGTACTCAGGTGGCTGGTGGGTCAGCCCCAGGGACTCTCCTAAGGCTTGGGGTCAGCCCTCAACAGGGAGGGGTGGGCAGTCCACAGGGGACAGGGATGCAGCCCCAGCCAAGGGTCTGCAATGAGTAATTTGAAATCTGCAGGAAGGGGAGTGTAGGAGTCACTTGGTCCAGGCCCTTGGCCTTGCTGTGTGGCTGTGGGGCAGCTGACTTCCCTGCTGGGCCTCCGTGGCTCCAGCTGTTAACTGGGATTGAAGTTGTCTTTAAGAAGACGATTATTCTGACCTCCCACCCATTCCCTGCAGGGAGTGAGACTGCCTCTGAGATGCTTTGGGCAGCTTCCAGAGTCACAGTGACTCACTCCTGCAGGTCGCCCTGACTGCTTGAGTGTACTTGGGACTTGGCATGCCTGTAGAGAGGCATGAGTTTGCTCTGACTGTCTCCCAAGTTTATCGTGACATATTTTGTCAGCTGACCAAGGAGAACTGGCTTCTGTCTCTTTTGGGGACTTTTCCATAACAGTGTTCAGAGGGGCTCTGAAGCGTAGGCACACCCTGCTGGCATCTGGAGGAACTGCTCCTGACAGAGAAAGGGAACTGAAATTCAGGCTTGCTTCTTGCTCCAAACAGCTGACAGGTGGCTTCTCGGGGTGGTAGAGGCAGTGGCAGCCTCTGGAAGGGAGGGCCTCAAGTTTACAGCCAGCACACAGGGCTGCCTTTAGTAACTACGGTCTCTCTGTCACCCCTCGATGACTCGGCTCCCACTACCTGCCAGGTCCCATGCTGGGCACAGAGGATGCAGTAGTGGCCAAGACAAAGGCCCTGTCTTCGGGAAACTGACATCCCAGCAGGGAGCTCAGGCAGGACCCTAATAAACAGTTGAATACAAGAGCGAGAACCCCCACGTGTGCCTGCAACATGGCCACCTCTGGGAGGCTGTCTTCTGTTAGGGATGGAGATTGTGGGGATGGAGACTACTGGGGCTCTGTTGCCCTTGACCCAAACCCTGATGCTCCAGCCCAAATCCCATCCATTGCAGGACAGAAGGGTCTACCCTGACCCCTTGACTCCTCCCCTAACTCTGAGGAGGACTCTTTGCAGGGGCCCTTAACTCCTGCCCGAGGCCAGAACTTACAGGCCGACCACACCCGGCTGTCAGCTCCCTGCCTGCTCACCTTAGCTGCCCCCTGAGTTATCTGAGCCCCCTCAGTTGCTGCCAAGCAGAAGGTCTCAAACACCTGGAGCCTAATGTTTCCCAGCCACTGAACAAGCCCTGGCCATGCCCTCTCCTCTCAAACTTCCACCAAGACTTGGGGTGTGGGCATGCAAGGAGCTGGAGCAAAGAGGGCCCTGAGGGACAGGAAGGGGGACAACTGGCTTTGGTTGGCTGCTGCCTGGGCTCTCATCCTCAGGTCCTCATGCACCTTCCTGGTGGAGGCTGTTGAGGGAGATCAGGTCAGGCCCCGGGCTGAGGGGAAGCCTCTGGCTCTCACTGGGGAGCCTCCAGCCTGCACTGGTTCAGCCCCAAGCACAGAGGATGGGATGGCTGTTAGCTGAGAGGAGCGCTCCCTCGGCGCAGCACTGGGGCCCGGCTGGCCAAGGAGAAGCTGGACTTTGGAGAGGCCATCAACCTGCCATGAGGAGTCACCTTGGGCTCTTTTCCTGGGGGAGCATGAAGGAAACAGGCAGAGTGGAGCAGGCACCTGACTGGGGTCACAGGGGGCTGGCACCCCTCGTTTCTGCTGTACTGGGACACCTGGAGCACTTGCCAGCCAACCTTATTTGCTATAGTTAAGGGCAGGATAAAGTAGGATGACCTGAGCCCTCCAGCAAACCTCGCTTCACTCCACCCCTCCTTCCCTTTGGCAGGCCTCCGAGCACAAGGGCTCCGACTGGCTACATCATCCGGTAAGTGACCGCAGGACTCTGCCGGCTTTCCTGTGCCCACTCGTACCACCCCTTGACTTCTTACCCCTCCAGCCCCTCCAGGGAGCTCACCAGCATCTCCTGGGCTCTCTTTTAGGGGAGTGTTCACCAAGCCCATAGACAGCTCTTCCCAGCCCCAGCAGCAGTTCCCCAAGGCCAACGGGACTCCAAAAAGGTGTGTCCATGGGGTGTTGGCCAGTCGGCCAGTGGGGAGGTGTGAGGGCCTGGTCTGGGCTCGTGGCAGAGAGAGCGCTCTGCCTGTCAGGAGTGTGGGGCCTCGGAGGTGCCAGTTCTCATCCTGTGTAGGGCAGGATCCTGGAGAGCAGGGTGGGGTGGCCAGAGGAGATGGGTTGGGGTGGGACTGGCAGTCCCAGGTGGATGTGTGGGTCTCTGGGAGGTCCTGGGCCACTAACAGTGTCCTTGTCCTGGGGTCAGTCCTGGCTACTGGGACAGAGAGGTGCAGGAGTTTGGGAGGGGCTGGGTGTAGAGTCCCCCTAGCCTGGCAGTGGGCACCCTTGACTTGACTTGCTGATGGCATTGAGAAGGCTGAAGTTGCATGCAATTCAAGCACCTTGGCATCAGACATTGCCTGGGGCTCCATCAGACTGGAAAGGCCAAAGGGATCAGGAAACAGGAAGCAAAGACATAGGCAAGAGCCCTCTGGGCTGTTCCCTGAAGCTCGGTGGGATTTGCCTATGCAGCAGGGGCTGCCCTGTTCTGAGCAGCACAGTTCTGGGTGTCTGTCAGGGCCAAAAGCAGAGAGGAAAGGCTCCCAGGCAGTTCCTGGCCCACCTATCACGTGTCCACTGGGCTGTATGGCCAAATCTGGAGGCAGGACGGAGCCTGCAGGTAGATACATGGAACATTCTCCTCTCTAGTGCTGCCAGTCTGGTGAGAACAGCTAACACTGGTCCTCCCCGCCCCTCCTCCTCTGGCTACAAGATGACCACTGAGGATTACAAGAAGCTGTGAGTATGCAACACCAGGCTCACCGTGGTTCCCTCCTCCAAGGAACAAGTCCAAACTCTGGGTCCGCTGAAGGCAGCTGGCTACTTGCCTCCGAGCGCAGCCCGGGAAGTCCCGCCTGCCTGACACTCCCTGCCAGTTGCAGCTGTGGCCTGGAGCCACCGGAGGGTAACAAGTCCCAGAAAACTGGATGGCAGTGCACATTGCACGTCTAATCTGAGGCAGAGGAGGGACTGCAGGAAGCTTGTAGGAGGGGCCCCACGGATCTGGGGAAAGGATCATGGGTCGTGAGGCTGCTGCTGGCTGGTTGTGCTTCCTGGGCTTGGCCCTGCACCCTGCCGAGCCTCAGGTGCTCTGCCTGGCTGCGCTGGGCTGGGGGCCTGGGGATCCTCAGGGTGCTGCTGTCAGTCTGAGCATCGTGTGCCTAAATCTGAGCTGCTTCTTGGAAGAAACCTTTGGGGTTCCCCTTCGTGCTCCCCTGGGGGTCCCTTTCAAAGCCCCCCACCCCCCACTGTATGCTCAGGGAGGGGGGTTCCCTGGACAGAGGTGTGAATTGTGCCTCTAGTTCCCAGGGGGCCACATCTTTCTGTTGTTTGTCCCTTGCCTCCACCATCCAGGGATGGGGAGCATCTGGGTAACCTTTCTAGGGAAGGAGAGAGGCTCAAACAGGGAGGGAGGGGAGAGCTGGCTCTCAAGGAGGAACAAGTGGCATGAACTAAGGCCCAAAGGCAGAGATACTGACTTGCCTTGTCACTGTTGTTGAAAGCCAGGAAGCCAAGCTGCTGAGGGTGGCAGCCTATGACAGAAAAGTGCCTCTCCCCTCTCTTAGGGCACCCTACAATGTCAGGCGCAGCTCTACATCAGGGGACACCGAGGAGGAGGAGGAGGTGCCTTTCTCCTCAGATGAACAGAAGCGGAGGTAACGGAATGGTGCCTTTTGGGCATCCCAGGGGGCAGGGCAGGAGCCTGAGTCTTCGAAGACTGCTGGAATGAATTGAACTGGTTGGGGTGACAAAATGCACAACACGTAGGCCATCAGCGGTAGCCCATGGAGCATGAGAATAGGGGTCATTCTTTGAGTGCCAGAACCACCCACTCAGTGTTGGGCCAGCTGAGGGGCCCTTGAGAACCTTCTGTGGGGTAGAACCTACGTACTGTGCGTCCAGGGAAAAACCTCATTTGGAGGCTCTTCAGGGCTCTAAATCGGTTTGTTAGAAAAGGGCCCTGAGACAGTTGGACAGAAATATTCAAGGAGAAGCCAGTACCCTCTATCTGCATGATCTGCATGATCTGCATGTCTTGGGGGCAGGGGTTGACTCCACAGTTCTGAATGCCCCTGGACCCCAAACTGAGCCCCAAGCAGGCGCAGCAGTGGGAGTGTGCCCCATGCTGCTGAAATTCTACCCCAGTCTCTGCACCAAGTTGCCCTCATCCACGCAGGCCAGCAAAGTTCCATGGACCCTTGCCCCTCCTCAGTCCTTTGTCCATGGGGACTGACCACACACCACCCAGTGCTGGTGAACTGTGACAGGGTTTTTTAAGCACCTTTTGTATGCCTTCGGCTTGGGGCCTGTACAGCAGTTGGGCCCTGAGGAAGTAAAGCCCTCCCCTCTCTGGGCTCAGCCAGCCACCAGTTCCGTATCTGCTGACCCATCTGTGGCACAGGAATCACAGCAAAGCCCCACTGCCAAAGGCCCTGGCAGATTGGCTATCCTCAGGGGATAGTTCACAGTGGCAGGGGCCCCCAGGCCTGGGTGGAGCAAGGAAAAGAGCCAGAAGCTAAGAGTGGCCTAGCATTGAAGGCCAGCTCTGCCACCTGCTAGGTGAGTGCTCTTGGGCAAATAATGAAAGCTTCTTGGACTCAGTTTCCTCATCTGTAAATTGCAGAGGATACTAGCACCTACTTTCCTGGATTGAGAAGAGCAATAAACCAATGCGAGGACATTGGCATCTGGCGCAGAGCCGGGCACATGCCACACACTTGATAAACGTGGGCTGCCCTTCCTTCAGTTTCTACATTTCCTTTGAATAGTCCTTGGAGCAGGTGCAAATCTGGTTTCTCCCATACCTTGCCTCCCTGGGCTGGCCCTAAGTCATCCCGAGTCCATCCCAGGCTAGGCTGGCAGAGCATGTCCAGCTTGGCACCCATCAGATGCTCCCCCACCCCGTGTCACCCCAGGTCAGAGGCTGCAAGCAGTGTTCTGAGGAGAACAGCTCCCCGGGAGCACTCCTACGTCCTGTCGGCAGTCAAGAAGAGCACTGGGTGAGTTGCCACCAACTGGCTCCAGGCTCTAGGACAGCTCTCCTCTCCTCAGAGCTCCAGCCTTCTCTGGCTGATGAAAGGGTGGGTGGAGAGATCACCCCCAAGGGCCTTCCTAGCTGAGCCTTCTCAGATTCTCAGATGTACTTTCTAGAAAATGGAGAGGTCTGGCGGTTAGCACCAGGGAAGGTGAAGTGCCGGGAATGGGAGAGGACCCAGGACCCCCTGGGGTAAAGCAGTCTTGATGTCACCTGCCCACGGGCTCTGCCCAAAGCTTTGCCTTTCTCTTTCGTTTCAAGCAGTCCTACCCAGGAGACACAGGCGCCGTTTATTGCGAAGAGGTAAGTGTCATCAAGGGACATCTTGGAAGCCTGTTACTGGCCACAGGAAGGCCTTCCGTCAGCTGGGGTGTAATGTGGGAGCTGTGCAGAGGGGATGTGGATGTGGGGGCTACTGTCCCTGAGCAGGGGAAGTTGTGAGGGGCTGGGGGCTTCTGTCTGGAGGCTGTGGTAGCATATGTGGTAGCATATGTGGTCAAGCTCTTCCATTTGCCAATGGCTAATGGGGCTGGGTCCCTGACCCAAGATGGAGCATTTCCAAGGCCCTCTGGGAGTTGTTCCCCTGCCCCTGTTGCTTGCCTCTTGCCTTGCCTTCTGCTGTCACGCAGGATCAAAACCTGGGCCATCAGGAGAACTTCCCCTGGGAGGTGACTGTGACATTGGAGATGGGCCCTAAAGGGTGAACAGGGCTTAATAGGGAATGATCAGAAGGTCAGGACACTCCAGCTGACTGAGGGAGGGGTGTCACCATTAGTTGAGACAGGGCATCTTCTGGAGGAGGAAAATATTCGGGGGAAAGCAGGAAAGAAAATTCTGGAAAGTTGAATTTGAGGGACTTCCAGTTGAGTGGACAGGGAAGGCCTCTCTCCACGCTGAGGTGGCTAGCTGGGGACTGAAAACCCAAGAGAAGACAGCATGCCAATTGCCCCAGGCAGAGGGCCCCATGGTGCCCAGGCCCGGGGTGGGACTAGCTTGCTGTGTTGGAAGACCGGAAGGTTGGCAGGAATACAGAGAGCAGGGATGGGGGCAGCATAAAGGAAGTGACAGAGAATGGCGGGGGGTCTTCCTGGTTCCATTTGGTTCCTGTGGTTTCTGTAACGCAGTACCACAAACTGAGCAGCTTAAAAAACCAGAAAAGACTTATCTCCCGGTTCTGGAGACCAGAAGTCCAGATCAAGGTGTTAGCAAGGTGGGTTCCTTCTGGAGGCTCTGAGGGAGAAACCGTCCCAGGCCACTCTCCTGGCTTCTGGTGGTGGTTGGCGATCCTTGGCGTTCCTTGGCTTGTACCTGCATCACTCCAGTCTGTGCCTCTGTCTTCACATGGCCTTGTCTTCCCTGTGTGTCTGTGTCCAGATTTCCCTCTTCTTACAAGGACAGCGGTCATTGGATTTAGGACCCATCCTATTCCAGTATGACCTCATCTTACCTGATTACATCTGCAAACACCCTATTTCCAAATAAGGTTACAGTCACAGGTTCCAGGGGACACGAATTTTGGGGGGACACTATTCAAGCCAGTATGCTGTCCTTATCCTGAGTTGGAATCACTGAACCCCCAGCCTGGGCCACCTCTTGGCCATGATCCTGAAGGGTTGGGCCAGTTAGACACCACTGGAAGCATGTCCTTCAAGGCCTGCAAGCTCCAGGGCAGCCAAGAAGACCACGAGCACCATTTCTCTTCTTGCTCAAAGGGTGGAGGTGGTGGAAGAGGACGGGCCTTCTGAGAAGAGCCAGGACCCATCTGCTCTGGCAAGATCCACTCCCGGCCCAAACAGGTAATCCATTGCGCTCATCTCTGCCTAGGGCTGGTGGCTGCTACACCTGCCACTCAGTCACTAAGGAACCTCAATCAGGGCACCTCCATGCTGGGCTTAGAGATCAGTGTCTCTATGTGCCCAGTGACAAGATGGGACAAAGAAATCAGTAAGGGCCCATCTGGCTGGATGTCCCAGGGCTGAAAGGAGCAAAACAGTCCAGCCTCCCGGGAGAGAGCACCTGGCTCTGGTCTGTTGAGTATGTATCTGTGTCACCTTAACCCTTGCACCACTGAGCCTGGTGGCAACTTGAACACCCCAAGAAAAAGTACCATCCTTGGGGTTTGAGAGGGCCAGCCACCATGGCAGTAGCCTGCCATTGTCAGACTTGCTCCTTGCACTCCAATAAGTTAGCCATGTTCAGCATGCCCAGGGAGGAGGCTCTGACATCTCCAGAGCCTCTCACAGCCACCTTCTTTGCCAGTGCGGATGAAGGCAGGACCAAAGCGTCTCAGGCAATTTGGATCGGGTGCCTGCCGAGTAGGCCTAGCCCCGGTGGGAGCCAGGAGCTCAGGTGGGTGCCGAGAGCTGACTCTGGCTTGTGAGTGGGTGTGATGGCTTCCTGCCAGCCTGGCTGGCTGGTTCTGCCAGCTGGAGAGGGTGTGGCAGTGGGATGACGGGGCAAGGACAGGCTGAGTGCTGGTGATCTCACTCCAGGAAGGGCCGTGATTTGTCCTGATTTCTGATCCCTGAGAATCTGGGCAGATAATGGTGCTGTCTTGTCTGTGGACAACTAATACCTTCCTGTACTTTGTGCAGAATGGTGCTACCAGCCCTGTAGGGAGAGCCACCACTCTGTTGTCGCTGCTGTTTAAAGTGCCTGCTGGATTGAGACCTTTGCTCAAATCTAGGTCTCCTAAGAGCTGCATCTCTGTAGCACCCTTGGAAGACCCTGCATCCAGAAGGGGAGAGGGCCTGTCCCTACAGGTCACTTCCCAGGCCCCCAAGGGCTGTTCAGGCTCTCCTAATACCATAGCAATCCCCCAATTTGAGCTCCACAGCCATTTATAGACAGGTGACCAATGTCCTCAGGGTTACTTCCTCGGTGCTGCGAGGGAGACAGAAACACTGACAGAGGGAGCCAGGAGCACGAGGCCAGGTCTCTCCATGGCCCCAGGCAGCAGACTGCCAGGGTGCTCCTCCTTTTCACTCTCTCCGTCTCTTGATTTTCTCAGTTGTCTGACTCTCCCCATAAGAACTTTGGTCCATAAGAACCTTAGAAAATGTGGAAAAGAAGATTTGAGATTTCTTTACAAGGCAATATCTAGGGCAGAGGTCCCCAGTCTTTTTGGCACCAGGGATTGGTTTCGTGAAAGACAATTTTTCCACGGGACGGGGCAGGGGATGGTTTCAGGATGAAACTGTTCCACCTCAGAATCCACCTTCATCATCATCAGGCACTGGATTCTCATAAGGAGTGCACAATCTAGATCTCTCACATGTGTAGTTCACAATACGGTTCGTGCTCTTATGAGAATCTGCTGATCTGACAGCAGGCGGAGCTAAGGCAGTAATGATCGCTAGCTTACCTCCTACTGTGCAGCCTGGTTCCCAGCAGGCCACGGACTGGTACTGGTCCTCAGGCCGGGGTTGGGGACCCCTGATCTAGGGAACTTGGCAATTGAGGGATATGGGGGCAAAGGCTGCCACAGCAAAGTATTATACCACACACTGGGGGGCTTAAACCACAGAAATTTATCATCTCCCACTTCTGGAGGCTAGAAGTCTGAGATCAAGGTGATGGCAAGATTGGTTCCTCTTGAGTCTCTCTCCTTGACTGGTAGACTCCATCTTCTCCCTGGGTCCTTATGTGCTCATCCCTGTCTGTGTATGCCTGCATCCTAATTACTTCTCGTTTTTTGAGACAGAGTCTCACTCTGTCGCCCAGGCTGGAGTGCAGTGGCACAGTCACCACTCACTGCAGCCTCGACCTCCCAGGCTCAAGAGATCCTCCAGCCTTAGCCTCCTGAGTAGCTGGGGCTATAGGCACATGCCACCATAACCAGCTAGTTTTTTTTGTTTGTTTTTTTAAAATTTTTTTATTTTTTGTGGAGACAGGGTTTCACCATGTTGCCCAGACTGGTCTGGAACTCTAGGACTCAAATCATCCTGTCTTGGCCTCCCAAAGTGCTGGGATTGCAGGCATGAGCCACCGCGCCCAGACCCTAATCACTTCTTTTAAGGACATTGGTCCAATTGGATTAGGGCCCACCCACTTCTTTAAAGGCCCCGTCTCCAAATGCAGTAACATTCTGAGGTCCTGGGGGTTAAGACCTCAACATATGAATTTTGGGTGGCACAAGTCAGCCCATAACAGTATACAGTTCTCGTTTCTCCTTATTTCTCTGTTAAAGAAAGGCAATAAATGGATTCAGGTGCCTTTTTGTTTGTTTGTTTTGTTTGTTTTTGAGATGGAGTCTCGCTCTGTCGCCCAGGCTCAAGTACAGTGGCGTGATCTCTGCTCACTGCAACCTCCGCCTCCCGGGTTCAAGCGATTCTTCTGCCTCAGCCTCCTGAGTAGCTGGGACTACAGGTGTACGCCACCATGCCTGGCTAATTTTTGCATTTTTAGTAGAGACGGGGTTTCACCATATTGGCCAGGCTAGTCTCAAACTCCTGACCTCGTGATCTGCCCGCCTTGGCCTCCCAAAGTGCTGGGATTACAGGTGTGAGCCACCACGCTCGGCCTCAGGTGCCTGTTAGAAGACAATATAGGAGGCTGGGCATGGTGGCTCATGCCTGTAATCCCAGCACTTTGGGAGGCCAAGGCAGGAGGATGGCTTGAAGCCAGGAGTTTGAGACCAGCCTAGGTAGCCTAGCAAGACTCCATCTCTACCAAAGAAAAAAAAAAAATTACAAATTAGTTGGGAGCATTGATGTACACCTGTAGTCCCAGCTACTTGGGAGGCTGAGGTGGGAGGACTGCCTGAGCCCAGGAGTTTGAGGCTGCAATGAGCTGTGACTGCACCCTTACATTCTAGCCTGGGTGACAGAGCAAGACCCTGTCTGTAAAACAAGAAGAAAAAAAGAGAGATAATGGAGGATAATTAGACTGTGCTGTATTATAGATTTAAGAGGCACTTTGACATTTATTCCAAAAAATTCCTTTGGATGTTTAATACTCATCATATGGTTGTCATTGCAAGGTGGCTTTTTAAGTTTGCTCAGGCTGCCATAACAAATAAAGGCTAGAGATTCAGGGTCCGGAGCAAGCTCCCAACAGGAGGCTCAGCTTGATGCTTCTGATAGTTCTTTCCTCCAATTCTGGTCTCTCAATATTTGGAGCTCACCCAGGCAGCTTCCAGGAAAGCTGCTGGCTGATCCTGACCCTGGAGGGCCGTCTTCTCTGACCCTACCCCATTAGGTGCTGCACTGGACCAGGCAGCCATCATCAGTACTCCCAGGCCCAGCTCCTATCTGCCTGGTGTCTGAGAAGCCCAGCCCGTGAGGAGCAATGAGTCAACCAAACTCAGGGTCCTGCAGCATCTCAGAAACGGCTGGTTTGTGGCAGAGTGGAAGAGGAGAATGTCACAGCCTTGTCCCAGGCACAGACCCATCGAGGCTATCCTCTCCCCACTCCCTGCCCTGCCCTGTCTCCCTTAACTACAGTGCAAAGGTCAGCTCCTCATAACTCTTGCCCCCCTTGCAACCTACACCCAGTTTAGGGACCCTCTCTTGGAGCACCCCTTCTCGACACCCCCAGACCTGGCTGCTTTACCCGCAGCTCTGGTCAAGCTTGCCTCACCTGACCAGCGCAGGGCCTCCTGGGTCCTGGTCCTAGGCTCTGCCCAGCATGCTGCCTGGCAGAGCGTCTGGGGAGCAGGGAGTAGGAGCACAGCTTCTGGCACGGGACAAAACCCTGGCTTTGCATCGAACTGACTGTGTGACCTTGAACAAGTCCCTTCATCTCTCCGTGCGTCAGTTTTCCCGTGGGTAAAATAGGGAGAGCAGTAATAGCTACTTCCCAAGGCTGTCTCAAATACTAAATGAGATAATGCACCTGAAGTACTTACCACAGTGTCTGGGTGCTGGTATCCTCTGGGGCGTGCTCTGGGGCGTGCTGAACTGCAGGACCCTTATTCAAATACAGGAAGAGATCAATATCTCCACCTGCCGGCATTTGAGGGAAATGCGGCCAAAGGCAGTGAAAACGTAGTATCCCTCCGCCCCACATCCCCGCCTCCTCACTCTTTGGCAGGATGAGTCACACACTGTTTGGCACAGGCCACAGTTGCTCACATTCCCACAGGTGGCTGTGATCCGTTTTGGGCCTCTCTTCCTTGAGTGCCTTCCAAGGGTGTGCCGCCTTCCAGCATGGTCCTGGACTTCAGATTGGACTAGAGATGTCTGTGGTTGGGAGTCTGGGGAGGTGGTGGGGTAGCGAGTTGCAGGGGAGGAGAGACCCCTGTATTAGTTCACTGGAGCTGCTGTAACAAGGTACTAGAAAGCGAGTGGCTTAAAACCACAGGCGTTTATCCTCTCACAATTCTGGAAAGGCCATGTTTCCTCCAAAGGCTCTGGGGCAAAATCTGTTCCATGCCTCTCTCTTACCTTTTGTTGCCCGCAATCCTTGCTGTTTCCTGGCTTGCGCCCACCTCACTCCCATCTCGGCCTCTGTCTTCGCACAGCCATCTTCCCTCTGTGTCTGTCCAAATTCCCCTAGTCTGACACCAGTCACTGGAGCAGGCTGGGGTGACACTTTGTTCCCATTTCCTCTCTGACAGAGCCAGAAACGCCAGTGAGAAAATATGTTGTGCTTACCTGTGACATCCCGGTTCCCTGGCACCACCTGCTTTAAATGAGGCAGCCAGGGGTTTTATACTGTCATCATAAATGACATCATCCTCAACAACGATGTCATCATCGTTATCACGAGAGGAGATGGGGAGAAGTCAGAGCTGTCTGTGTGTGTAGGGCCCCTCCTGGCTTTCCTGATGGGAGAGGCCTTGTCCTTGGTAGCCCTTCCATTTCCGTCTGGTCACTTTGAGCGCTCCAGGCCCTGACCAGGGTGGAAGTGGAGGGACAGAGATGAGCAGCCCACTGACCCAGCCCTCCATGGCTCATTCCTCACTTGCACCTTGGCCACTCCAAACCCTACCCCTCCTGGGACCCCTGACTGGCTTCTTTAAAGTTCCAGTCTGATCCTATAAACCCCCCACTCCACTTCAAGCCCATCCTGCATCTTCCCTTTGCCATACCAGATCTAGTCTGTACATTCAGGACCTCTGCCAGCCTCTACCTCCTCCTCTTCCCCTGATCTCGCTTCAGCTGGCCTGGGTCAGGCTATGCCTCCATAAAGCTTGTCCACTGCTCCCATGGCGAAACCTGTTCTGGGCCCTACAGCACAGCAAGGTCAGTTTCCATGCCTCTCTGCCTCCGTCTGACTTTGCTGGGCCCAGAGCTTCACCAGGGCAGGCCTGGGACTCAAGCTTGTCTGCACTTCCAGTGCCCAGGGACAGTCAAAGGCAGGAGTGACTGCAATGTGGCTTGGAATTAGGCTTTGCTCCATGCACCTGAGGAGGTCTAGTTTGGGGTGAAGGGTCCACCCCCACAAAGCCTGAGAGCTCTATATTCTCTCTGGCCCTGGCCACACCATGGCCAAACCTGCTGGGCGTCATGCCTTGCAGTACAGCCAGAGAATGCATCAGATTTGGAGGGATGTGTGTCTGGGGTGGCCTGTGGTCACCTGGGGGAGGGCTCTGAGCATGGCTGGCAAGAGGAAAGCTCAAAGGGGCCCTTTGTCCTCACCCCTGAGTCTGCGACATCCCCTCCCACTGGTTTTCATTCCAAATTTGGTCTGTGGGTTTTCTCAGTCTCTCATACCCCTCAGTCCCTACCAGCCCATGAATGCAGAATTACCCCTGGCCTCACAAACGGCCACTTTGGATGCCCTGGTGGGGCCACAGGCTGGGGCTGCCCCTGCAAATGGTTGGTAGAAACACGGGTTGGGAGGTTTCATTTCTACCCAGAAGGGCCCTTGCTGTGGTCAGAGTCCACAGCTCTCCAGGCCACTAGGCTCTGTGCTGGGGAGGGGTGGGTCAAGGAGGCCACAACCAGCAGGGAGCACGAGGGGCTCAGCCCCTGCCCTGGGGTGGAGGACAGACAGCCAGGTGACATGCAGGCAGGATTCAGGGGCTGGGGTGGAGGCTAGGAGAGATCCAAGCAGGGAGACTGGGCCCCTTACCTTGTGAAGGCCAGAGACTGGGGAGAGAAGCGGGAGTGTACACTGAAGGTCATCCCTTCAGCCCTGGGGTGGCAGGAACTTTGAGCAGAGGCCTCTCAACAGTGTCGTGGGTGGGAGTGCTTGAGGAGAGCTTCCCGGAGGAAGTGACACCCAAGATGAGTCCTGAGCGATCTCTAAGTCCCTTTACTCTCCTCCTTGGCTCCTCCCACTTTTAATTCTGCCCCCAAGGCACCAAGTCCTGCCCATTTTATTTTAGAGATGTTTCCATCCCTATTGCTCTGCCCCTGGCTCAGGCCTCCACTGCCACTCACCCAGTTGTCTGCAGCCGTTTCCTACTATCCCATCCCTGGACTCCCTTCCACATCTACCTGGGTGATGTTTTCAAAGGGCAGAAGTAGTTATGCCAGCTCTCTGCACAAAGCCCTGCAAAGCCCCTCCCACTATGCTCTGCAGCCTGAACTCAGTACCTGGCCCCACCTGCAGGCTCCCCCCTCCCTGGGCCTTTCTCTGTGCAGGCTGGAGGCTCTGCCTGAGATGCCCTTTCCGCTCTTCATTTTTCTGTTCCACCTGAAATGTCCTCTCTTCTGGGTCACCTCGTTCTCCTGAGTTTCTTTCCCAGGCAGCTTCTGAGGGGCTTGTTGATTCTGCATGGCAGCATCCATTCTGCATGGATGTAGATACAATCACTATGCTCATTTTACAGATTAAGAAACTGAGACCCTGAATGGTTAAGTAACTTGCTCAAGGTCACATGGTCCAGAGCACGCAGATCCGCCCAGCCTGCCCTACTCCCACCTTCCACCTTCTGCACCATAGCTCATTGTACTAGCCAGGGCAGGGAGCATGGGGACGGAGAGGGGTGATTGAAAGAGTTGGCATTTGCTGAGTGAACTCATTTGATGAGTATATTCGTAGGCATTGAAGTCAAAATTTCCAGGAGGGAGGTATTTGAAGGTTTGTGATTGAGGTTTGAGAGAGTGATCAGGGCTCAAGAGCTTTCCACGTTATATGCAGACAGAATAGAGCTGAAATCATGAGCGTAAACTAGCTTCACATGGGGCTCGTGGTGAGCCAGCGGAAGCTGGGCACTGACCTCACTATGCAAGTGGCAGCCACTTGGCCAGCCCTCCTGGGGACAGCTGGGTGAGGGCAGTCACTTCTCACCATGTTGAGAGTGAGCCTCCTGAGGGCCAGTTGGGAGGTAGTGGGTGTGCAGGCCAGTACAGAGGAGAGGCGGGAACAAGTGGAGATCACTGCTTCAAGGGTGGCAGTTGACGCTTTGGGAGGGGAGGAGACAGCCCAGCAGGTGGTGGAGCACGTGAAGGGGAGGAGAAAAAGGCAGAGACCAGGAAGGTGTGTGGCCAGGGAGGTAGGCAGGTCGTGTTGACAGGGTCAAGGGAGGAGGGGTGGCGAGAAGGCTGGAGTGGCCCACTGGGTCAGCAGTACTGAATGGTGGTTTGAAATAATGATGGGACTGTCTCTCCTGGAGTTGACAACATGGGGCTCCCTGATGACCTGAAGGAGAACAGAAGGGGGCTTAAATTAGGAGATTAGGATCAGTCTTACACCATAAAGGGATGTAGTCCAGAACTCTGAAGTCAGACTGCCTGGATTCGAATCTGAGCTACTCCTCTTATTACCTGTGAAATTTGGGGCAAATCACATGGGCTTTGTGTGCCTCTGTTTGCTCATCTGAAAGATGGGCATGGGTGATAACAGTGCCCATATCCTGGGGTTGATTTGCAGAGTTAATGTATATAAAGTCATGAGAACAGGCTCAAATGCTCAATCAACAGTAGCTATTGCCAGGCGCAGTGGCTCACGCCTGTAATCCCAGCACAGTAGCTATAAAACAATAACAACGACAACAACAACAAAAACAAACCCAAAACACAGTAGCTATTACTAATGAAGTTTTGAGAATTGGCCAATCTGTCAATCAGCAGGGTTTGTTTGTTTGTGGCTTTGTTTTTTAACAAACGTTTCAGGTTCAACCTCCCAAGTAGCTGGGGCCACAGGCACACACCACCACTCCTGACTTTCAAAAATATTTTTGTGGAGATGGAGTCTAGCTATGTTTCTCAGGCTGGTCTTGAACTCCTTGGCCTCTGAAAATGCTGGGTTATAGGCGTGAGCCATTGCACCCAGCCCAGTAGCAGGTTCTAAGCTCCGTGGAGACAGCTGGCATTTGAGGATGAGGTAACAGCCCACACCTGAGTGTGAATGGCTGCTGCATCGTTAACTTCCATTTATTTCCTCCATAGGTCTTCCCCAGGCCACAAAGACAAGGAGGCCCCCTGCTCCAGAGAGCTCCAGAGGGACTTGGCTGGCGAGGAGACTTTCAGGGGCCCCAACACAGACGCTGCAAGGTAACTCAGTGCAGGAAGCAGACACTTCATTCCCAGAACATGGAGCCCACATACACCCAGCTGAAGGACTTCCATGGCCTCTGGTGCAATGTCAATGGATGCAGCTGGGGCCAGGATGGTCCTGTTCCCGCTGTTCCCCCAGTGCCTAGGGTAGTGCAGGTCTTTAATGAATATCTGTTGAAAGAAAGAATGAACAAATGAATGAGGCCTGGAGTGGGGTAGGCCCCTGCCATGATTCCTCAGGGAGCCAGTTGGAGAGCAGGACCAAACTCCAGGGCAGGCTATCCCCAGCTCCTGGCCTGTGCTGGGTTCCTTCCATTCCCCTGAAGATTCCACACTCACTATGCTTTTACTGCAGGACAAAGCAGCCCTGCCAATGGCCAGGGCAAAGCAAGGCCACCAAGCTGGCAGTCTGGGAGAGTCAGTGACCAAAGTATGTGGGACCCCATACAGCATGTAGCTGAGACTTTCAGGATGACCTGTGGACTACGGGAGACATTGTGGCAAGGGGTCAGGGGTCCAGGATGGGAAGTTGGAGCCATAGTGGTGGATGATGGGTCCAGATGGGATGATGGTCCCCAGTCGCTCTACAGCCAGCCCACTGACCTGTCTTCCAAGCCAGACCAGTGCCAAATGTGTCTGGTGAGCAGTGGCTGCAGGCTGGGCATTTCCTCAGTGAGAACCTGGTAGCCAGTTACAGCTAAGAACCCACACACCCGTCTTCTCAGTGTGGATCCCTGGCGCCTCTAGCTGGGACCCTGAGCCCTGGGAATGAGGAAAGGAATCCCTCTATAGCTTATTACCAGCCCCACGTCTTGCCCCTTGCTCTGTTGGCAATAAGCCCCCACAACGAACTGACCTCCTCCTGACTTTCCACCTTGCTCCCAACCAACTCCTCAGGTTTGGAAAAAATACAGAAATGCTTCCTGTTAGAGTTAACTTGGGCTTGGCTCAGCTCTGGTCAGAGCAGCACAGAGTAGCAGCTAAAGGCCTGTGCTTCTGGACTTGAGGCCCACTCTCATGGCATCTGGGTTAGATGAGATCAAAACACAACCAGAGTCAGCAAATACTCACTTCTCGTAACAGGTCAAGTGAACAGTTGAGTGATGGCAACGTGGGATCCGGAGCCACGGGCTCCTGGCCTGAAGGCTTGGCTGCAGTAGACATCGGCTCTGAGAGAGGAAGGTAAGCTGCCCGGGGGAGGCAGGTTCTCTCATGCTCCTGGTGACAGAACAGGGTCAAGCTGCCAGGCTGCTTGGACTGCTGGGGGTGGGGCACTGGTCACTTCCTGTGACTCCTGTCTATTGCTTCTCCCACACGCCCACCTTCCACCACATCCTGTGTCCTTGGGCTTTCCACTTCTTGGAATCTTGTTCATTTTTTCTGACCCCTGCCACTGGCCCTCAAGCTCCTCCAGAGTAGGCACTAGGCCCACTCACAGCTGGAGGCCCAGCCCCCACATGGTGCTGGTCCTGGGCTGGTCAAATGAACGTGTGGGGAATACATGAAGGGACAAACTAATGAGTGAATGACTGAATGATGGAAGAGTCGGCACCTTCTTACTTTTCGGTTAAGCTCTGAGGACCAGCTAGGAGGCCCTTTGCTCCTGCTTTCTCCCTTCTCTCCTTTTCCTGCCCCACCCCTACCCCGGCCAGCTCTGCTGTGAGGTTCAGGGAGAGGAAAAGCAGTAGCCCTGGAAAGACCAGTGTGTCCAGCTGGGCTCTGGCTTCTTGGACCTGGATCAAGTCAGGGGCCACTTTCTCAGGTGATTTGGGGAGTGGCAAGGTCCCACTTGTCCCTAAGTGGTTCCAAACCAAGCCTGAATCATCCTTGGGGCAAAGGCTAGGTATGCAGATGATGGCATAAATAGTTTAGCTCCAAATTATGCTGGAGCCCTTCTTCAGAGCAGATAGCTAGGGAAGAGTGGCAAAGCCAGTGTCTGCAAAGAGCTACAACCGCAAGATATCATCTGCCTCCTGCATCCTACTGCAGTCTGGCCAAGGAGGGAATCCTGTAGGGAAGGCCCTGCTGATGCTTTCCTACTTCCCTCAGCATACCCAGGGCCCCTTTCCCTCACTAACTTCAATAGTTTGCAATTCATGCCTGGAACCAGAGCCTGACTTCTAAATCCAGGCCCACAAGTCAACACAGGAAGGGGACAGCAGGTCCTGGCCTCTGAAACCACTGTCTCTGAGCAGGTCCAAGGAGAGGCCACCAGAGACTCTGTTCTTTGAGCTGCCACTAATGGGGAGGACTCCGCTAGAGCCCTGTCCACGCAGCCTACATCTTTTTGCCATCTGCAGAGGTGTTGGAGGGATCTTTCTAAAAATAAGCTAGATCACATTTCTCCCCTGCTAAAACCTTCTAGTGGCTCTCCATTTTCCTTAGAATGAAGTCCCAACCCTTTCCCATGACCCACTGGATCCTGCATGGCAGAACCTTTGGCCTTCTATCCAGTTGGGGCTCCCGCTACTCTCCCCATGGTAGTGCAGCTTGACTGGCTCTGCTGATGGCTGTCGCGAAGAGACTTCTGGTCTACTGTGATTGGGTGGCTCTTGTCTCCTCCGTGTCACCCCGCCTGCTTATACACCCTCATAACACGAAGGCTGTGCTGTCCTCTGTTTCCTTAAAGTGAAACCAGGCCTCAAAGTTACTTGTAAAGTCATCTGAAGAATCTTCTAGATTTTCACAAATTTTAACCCAGTCTTTTACAGTTGTCTTACCTATATAGTCGTCCCTAGGTATCTGTGGGGGATTGGTTCCAGAACCTCGCTCATATACCAAAATCCATGCATGTTCAAGTCCCTGATATAAAATGGTGTAGCATTTGCATGTAACCTATGCACATCCTCCTGTACCCTTTAAAGCATCTCTAGATTATTGTAATGCCTCATACAATGTAAGTGGTATATAAATAGTTGTTATACTGTATTGTTTAGGGAATGATGACAGAAAAAAGCCTGCACATGGTCAGTATGGATGCAACCATCCTATTTTAATTATTTTTTCCAAGTCCCTCCCCTCCCCTCCCCTCCCCCCTTCTCTCCCTCCCTCCCTCCCTCCCCTCCTCTCCTGTCTTCCTTTTTTAGACAGGGCCTTGCTCTGTCACCCAGGCTGGAGTGCAGTGGTGTGATCACAGTTCACAGCAGCCTCAACCTCTGGGGCTCAAGGGATCCTCTCACATCAGCCTCCCGGGTAGCTGGGACTATAGGTGTGTACCACCGCACCTGGCTAATTTTTGTATTTTTGGTAGATATAAGGTTTTACCATGTTGCCCAGGCTGGTTTGGAACTCCTGGGCTCAAGCAGTCCACCCACCTCAGCCCCACAAAGTGCTGGGATAACAGGCATGAGACACGGTACCTGGTCCCAAATATTTTCAATCTGAACTTGGTTGAATCCACAGATGTGGAACCCACAACATAGAGGGCTGACCACACACTTAGTTTGACCATGATTTTCAACAAACTCCTTTATTGTTTTTCCAAAGGCAAGGTTGTTTCTCATGGAAACAACCACTCTCCTTTTCCATTCATTTTCATGGATTTACTTAATCGTTGAACTTAGTGATTCTTCCCCATTAGAAGCAGCTCAAATAACTAAGTTACTGCCCCAGGGGCCTTTCCTTGGACCTGCTCAGAGACACTGGTTTCAGAGGCCAGGACCTGCTGTCCCCTTCTTGTGCAAATACAACTGGCATAAAGAGGTTTGGGACCAAACAAGAGCGCCCCTTAGTGAGTGTGCTGGTTAGTGGAGGGCACAGACTTGTATAGGCAGTGATTGTTCAGCATGCCGTGAGCATCAGTCTGCCTGGCTTACAGAGACACAGAGAATGTGACTCAACCCTGTGAAGGGTGGGTAAGACATTCGCCACAAAATCCATATTGAGTGGGTGAATACAGGTGGATTGGGAAGGAGCACTGCTTCTACAAACAGCCACAGGGCCCAGCAGTAACAGGAACACATTAGCACATGTTATGGCCCAGGTATTATTCAAAGTACTTGGCATCTATGAACTCATTTACTTTTCTCAGAATACTTACGAGACAGACATGATTGGCATCCCTATTTCATTGATGGTAAAATTGAGGCCCAGAAAGAAAGGTCAGGTAACATGCCCAATGTCACACAGCTGGGTGACAGCAAAGCCATGATTTGCTTGCTAAACTTGGCTGTAGTCCCTACAGCAGAGGTTCTCTGAGACCTCCTAGCAGGATCTCTTCCTAGGCTCTGCCTTCCAATGCCCTCCTCTCTGCCACCTCAGCTTGGGTCCATGTAGGTTGGTGCTGGGCTCTCTGGGTGGGCATGGTCACTTTGCTGTGGGTGTGAGGAGCATTTGGCAAGTGCTAGTAAGGAACAATCTTTCTTGACTCCCACAAACCCTAAGGAGGTGTAGGTCAGGTAAGGATACGTCATGCTCAGGGTCAGGTACCAGCTGCAGCTCAGGGGTGAGGGGAATGGTTGGACATGGGGCAGGGAGCTGGAAGAACACTCGAGAGATAGTGGGTAAATGAGACATGACTTTACTCAGCAGCAGCTCTCTTACACAGCTTTCTCAAACTAGCTTTCAAATCATTAGCAGCTTACTCTCACACTGTCTGCCCTGTCTTGGCTGCTTAGTCCGATGGCCCCCATGCACAGCTGCGTGGCCAGCTCTCCCTTGCCTTCAGGGTCAGCCGCTTAATTCTTTCTCTCCCTGGGCATGGGCAAACCAAGCTGTGTCCTGGTTCCCCTCTGTCCATCTGCAAAGACAGACAGCTCTTGCGCTGTCTCTTTCTCTGGGTTCCCACGCACCCGCCATGTCAAGCCATGATGAGCTGAGCCAAGCCCCAAGAGACATGTTCTCTGTACACAGCGTCAACAGGGCAGTTATACCTTTTACAGACAATAGTGGTTTAGAGCCAAGTATGAACTTACACAAACAGGTTATATAAGAAGTGGAGGTGTGCACTTGTGCACCAGACTCACTGAGTCATGCAGGCCTGGATATCCCCCTCTGCCTATTCCTTGACCAAAGCACATCCATGTACCTCACAGGATACTAGAACCCAAAACCAGGAGGGGACTTCCCCAGGGAACCCAAATTGGTCAGGGGCAGTGCTTGCTCTTGAACTCAGGTGCTAAGGCCATGTCCAAAGCTGACATGAGGTTGTCACACACAGTGGCATCGGTGCCACACTAATGCCAAGACTGAGACACCAGCCTTTACTGGAAGACACAGTTTCCCCCTTTCTGGTGAGAAGGCAGCCTGGAGGGAGAAGACCTGGGACCCAGCCTTCTTTGGCCTGAGATCTCAGCGGGCCTGTGTTTCCTTCCTCAGCTCCAGTGCCACTTCAGTCTCTGATGTCCCTGCTGATAGGAAGAGCGACAGCACAGCAGCCCGGGAGGATGCAAAGGCAGACCCAAAGAGGTAAGGTATGAGGAGACAGTGCTGAACGAGAGACGCAGCTTGGGCTGTGTGTCCATTGGCCTTTGGCTAGGAAGGCCAGCAAGGTTTGTGAGCTGGCCTGAGGCACATAGCAAGGGCAGAAGCCCCAACGGGAACCCTCTGGCTTCTGGGGCCAGGGAGCTTTCTACTAAACTCTGTTGCCTTGGCCAGGAAGTACACCATACTCAGAAAGGGTCTTTCAGTCAACAACCACTCTGACAGCACCTGCCTTTTGCTGGAGGCTGGAGCACACAGACAAATCAGAAACACCGCTGCCTTCCAGGAGCTCCCAGGCCGGGGGGTGGGCAAAGGCTGGTTCAGATTAGAGCAATACATCAGCGCTAGAGGAGAGGAAGGGGGCTTCATGGGAAGGTGGCCTTTGAATGGAATGTTGACAGGTGAGGAGGAGTCTTTCAAGCAGAGGGAACAGGATACGTAAAGGGCCCAAGAAAACCTGGTGTTTCCTGGGCACTGTATGTTGCTGGGTGTGGTCAGCGATGAGTGTCCTTGTCAGGGAGTGCTGGAAGAGGAGGCTCAGTGAACTAGGTAGGGCTTGATTGGCCTCTTGTACTGTGATATTGGAGCCTACTGTGTGCACAGCCCTCTACTCACAGCGTCTCATATGGTTCTCCTCACAGTCTCTCAAAGGTTTATGCCTAATTACAACAAAATCCAAAAGCCTGGAGCCTAGGTCTCTGTGCCTCCTGAGAAGGATAGTGCTCTAAAGAAAACAGCCGCAGCTGAGATAGAGTCATGACGGTGAGGAGGGTACGACTTAGGTGGGTGGAAAAGGCAACTCAGGCGAGCTCCTCTAAAGATGAGAAGGAGCCAACTCTAGAAATAATACGGTGAAGAGAGCTGTAGATAAGGAACCACAAACCAAATAACCCTGAGATGGGAACATGCTTAACATGTTCCAAAGGACAGAGTGGCTGGAGCTTGGCCAGTGAGGAGGGCCATAGATGGAGCAGGGCCTTGGTAAGCCATGATTAAGAGATTGGATCTTGTTTCAAGTTTTAAGCCAAAGGGGAGTCTGATGTGATTTAGGTGTTTAAAAGGTGAATGCATGTTTGCATTTTCATACCACATTGCTGTTGCTTTTTTACTTAAACCAAGATGCTGGGGGCTGGGGTGGGCAATGGATATCTAAGGTATGAGGCCTTAATATATTTCTTTTCTCATTCAAATTGCACTGACAATTAACAATCAGAGTGAAAACAATAGCTGACACCAATACTGTGCTGTGCCAGGTGCCTTACAGCCTTGCCAGCAACCCTGTGAGATGGGTAAGGTGGGAAACTGAAGCACAGAAAGATTACGTGACTTAGCCAAGGCCTTACAAGTGGCAGAGCTGAGTTCCAAGGGAAGAGGCTCTAAGAAAATCCTCAGGAGAAACTACGAAAAATTAGTTTATGAAATCTTGTCTTTGGAGCCTAGTCTCCAGACCCAGAATCAGTAACTTACAGCTGGTTAACATGGTTAACATGCTGTGTAATCTCACCTTAGTTCTCCCCAGACGTGGAAAAGGATAAGGCTTCTTATGCAACCTGACAGAGGAGAAAATTGAGGTACTCACTCCTGTGATGAACACACCTAGGAACAGAGCCCAGATCCAGCTAACTCTAGAGCCAGGCTCACACTACTTTCCTCTGATGTTTAAATGTCTGCAAAATCAGAGGTTTTTTTTTTTTTTGAGACGGAGTTTCACTCTGTCGCCCCAGCTGGGGTGCAGTGGCGTGATCTCGGCTCACTGCAACCTCTGCCTCCCGGGTTCAAACGATTCTCCTGCCTCAGCCTCCTGAGTAGCTGGGATTACAGGCTCATGCCACCACGCCCAGCTAATTTTTATATTTTTACTAGGGATGGGGTTTCACTATGTTGGCCAGGCTGGTCTCAAACTCCTGACATCAAGCGATCCACCCATCTTGGCCTCCCAAATTGCTGGGATTACGGGCGTGAGCCACTATGCCTGGCCAGTACAGACTTTCTTGATTACAGTGTTTCACAACTCTGCCTGTATTTGAGAATCACCTAGGAAGTACTGAAACACACTGTTGATGAAAAAGGCCGTACTCTGTAACATATTTGAAGAAATTCAGAGCCAAATGTTAGGACTATGACCCGTGACACAGCCTCAGGAGATCCTGAGAGCATGTGCCCAGGATGGTTCAGTTACAGCTTGATTTTATATGTTCTAGGGAGACATAAGACATCAGTCAATATATGTGAGGTATACATTAGTTAGGTCCAGAAAGGCCGGACACCTCAAAGCTGGGAGTGTGGTGGGGGTGGGGGTGAGGGTGGGGTTCCAGGTCATAGGTGGATTCAGAGATTTTCTGATTGGCAATTGGCTGAAAGAGTTGTTATTCTCTAAAGACCTGCAATCAATAGAAAGGAGTGCCTGGGTTAAGATAAGGGGTTGTGGAGACCAAAGTTCTTATATAGATGAAGTCTCATAAGTGGCCGCCCTTAGAAGCAATAGATGACCAATGTTTCTTATTCAGACCTTTAAAAGGTGCTAGACTCTCAGCTAAACTCTTCAGATCAGAAAAAGCCCTGGAAAGGGAAGAAGATTCTCTACAGAATGTAAATTTCCCCCAGGAGAGACAGCTTTGCAGGGTTATTTCAAAATATGTCAAAAAATATATTTTGGTGTAAAATACTTCAATTTCTTTCATTACCTGCTCTTTGTCATGTGATGCTATACTAGAGTCAGGTTGGAATTTGGCATATTATTGCTTCAAAGAGTCTGTTTTGTCAGTCTGAATATCTCTCTCAATGTTAATACTGGTCAGTTGGGTGTGAATTCCAAATGGAGAATATATTGAGGCATGTCCGACCTTCCCCTTTCTCATCATGACCTGAACTAGTTTTTCACGTTGTGTCCCCTTGGCTGAGAGAAGTGTCCATTCATTCGGCTGGGGAGCTTAGAATTTTATTTTTGGTTTACAACACAACAAAAACTTTCCGAAGTCCCAGGTAGAGATTTGGATTTTATTTTTCTGGGGCGGGTCTCCATCATCTGTGTCTTTTTCAAAGCTCCCCAGTTTATTCTCTTTCCAGGCTAGGTTGAGAACCATTGTTCTCAGGTAGTGGTTCTGAACCAGGGGCATCTCCCAAACCTTCCAGCCTGCTACGATACAATGTCTGGAGCCATTTTTGGTTGTAAAAACTGGCAGTGGGAGATACTACTGGCTTCTTAAATGCAGAGATCTGGGATGCTACTAAATACCCTACAGTGAACAGGATAGCACCCACCCCACACCCCCCAGCACACACCATAGAATTATGGGGTTCAAAATGGCAATAGTGCTAAGGTTGACAAATCCTGCTCTAGAGCTTTGACGAGCTATTTGGGAAGACAGAAGGGGCGGAAAAGAAAAACGGATGGAAGAGAACCGCAGCACTCGCCTTACCGGGAGTCTGGGTAGCAGGGACTGCGCCTGTGCGAATGCGCACTAGCCACCAGCGTACGCGACGCGTGCGCGCCTGTGCACCTCGGCTAGCACCCGCCCGTAGTGAGTACGCCTGCGCACGCCGCCATTTCTTGAAGCCCCGAACTCGGTCGCAGTGCCCGCCGGGAAAATGCGACTGTCCACAAAGTGAAATGGCCGCCTGGGGCGAGCTCGGCCTCGGTGGGGATTCTCCTGAGGCCATGCGCGCGCCGGCCGCCAGAGGTCGCCCGAGGATCGCGAATGGGCCCGAGGCGCTGGCTGCCCCTTCCCCCGCATAAGGTCTGAAGCCGCGGCCAGAGTGGCCTTGGGGTGACCGCGCGTGGACCGTCCCCGGCGGGAGGAAGCGCGGTCCCGCGAGGGACCGAACGGGGCCGCTGCGACTTGAGCTTGTTCCGCGGGGAGCCCTGGCGGCCATGGCCTCCGGTACACCGGACATGGGTCGTCAGGGCTGCCAAGGGGGAGGGGATGTGGACCCTCCAACCACGCTGGGCCCTTGGGCTGACCGGGGCTGGTCTGTGGGGCTCAGTGAGGAGGGACTTTATTCCTAGGAGTTTGATGAGGGAGCGCCTTGGGGGTGGCGTCGTCCTGACATCCTGCAGGGCAGTGGAGCCTTACTTTCCCTAGGTTACAACACAATTTTAACTGTCCCAAACTGTGGGGACTCTGCCCTATTCCACCTTGGGCCGTTCCATCACACTACAGGGAGAGGCGGTATAGTATAGTGGTTGAGAGCCTGAACTCTGGTGCTTTGAGTTCCAATCCAAGCTCTGTCACTTACAAGCTCCGTGACCTTGGGCATGTTACTCATCTCCTCTGTGCCTCAGGTTCTTCACGTGTAGAATAGTAGTAATCATACCTCCTACCATATAGGGTTGTTGAAACGGCCAAATCGGTTTGTATATGCAAAGCGTGTAGGACATTTAAACCTGCAAGCTAAGTGAAGCAGCACCAGAGGAATATCTCCTGCTCTCAGAGGTGTTCAGGGACACTCGGAAGGCTGACTTTACCAGCTTTATTGGCTTGATTTCATTTGACATGACACGATATCTCATCTCCTTCCTACTAAACTTTTGTCATCAAATTTTACATATAGAACATGCTGTTTTCTTCATTATGTTGCAAGCATGGGCTTCTCAAGTTTATATTTTTTCTTCATGAGGATTAGGTGAAGTTTAGGCCCCACATTTCCTCACCACTGGCAACCGTTGTTGGCCAGTGGAGGAGTCTAGTGGAGGTAGTACAAGAGTGGAAGTGTCATCTGGGTGCAGTGGCTCACGCCCACCTGTAATCCTATACTTTGAGAGGCCGAGGCAGGAAGACCACTTGAGTTCCGGGGATTGAGACCAGCGTGGGCAACGTAGTGAGACCTCATCTCTACAAATTTTTTTTATATATATATGTGTGTATATATATGATATCTATCCATATATGTATATCATATATGATATCTATATATGTATATCATATATGATCTCTATATATGTATATCATATATATGATATATATCTTATATATGTATATCATATACATATGTTTTTGAAACAGTGTTTCTCTTCTGTCACCCCAGACTGGAGTGCAATGGGGTGATCTCGGCTTACTGCAACCTCTGCCTCCTGTGCTCCAGTGATTCTCCTGCCTTAACCTCCCAAGTAGCTGGTACTACAGGCACATACCACTGACCTGGCTTATTTTTGTATTTTTTTGTAGAGATGGGTTTTTGCCATGTTGCCTAGGCTGGTCTCAAACTCTGACCTCAACTGATCCACCCACTTCTGCCTCCCAAAGTACTGAGATTACAGGCGTGAACCACTACGCCGGGACTACAATTTTTTTTTTTTTTTTTTAAAGAATGGAAGTGTGTAGAGTATGGTTGTGTCAGGAATTGACAATGGCTGTACTAGGCTACTGGATCTTTGGTCCAATTACATTCAGAAGGAAAGGCTTCAGAGAAATCAATCCCAAATCCAAAGTCCCATTGGTCACCATCCCCTGTGTTACCTTGCCTATCTCTAACCACTTGACTTCCAGGCAGTTCATGAGGGACTCAGACAGGATAGCTGGGAAGTAATTCCCCTGGATGCTACATTGTCCAGCAGAGCTTCCTGTGAGTGTTTGCCTAAGATTTCCTTTTTATGACCCACATAGGTCATACCTACTAAAATCACAGTGGCCCTGCCACAGGCCTAGGAACAAAGAAGCCTTGTTCATCCATTTGTCCCTGTGTCACAGTAGAGCCCAAGTTTCTCTTTGTGGAGAATTCTGGCTCTATCCACAAACTTGGTGAGGGCAACCTCTACTAGTGTATTTCTGCAGAGGACATGGGACAGGACGGGACTCTGATTGAATCCATAGTAAAGCTAAGTCAGGGCTACCACAGTAGGGATACAAGCTCTTCAGGCCTTGTATGTTTGTCTTTGACTCAAGCAAGCATGTCACTGACAGAGATTGAGCGGGTGTGTCAGGGCACCCTGCTGGCAACCCTGGGACTGGTGTTACCTGTGCAGACAGACCACTTTTGGATCTGCATAACGGGCCCTAAGGGTGGAAGCAGCACAGAGAAGCACAGGCCCAGTGGGATAGTTTCCCATAGTTACTGTGTGGCGTCATACTCACTTGCCTGCAGTTCTGCCTGGTGCAGCTGGAGGTGGCAATTAGCTTGTTGTCCCTGCTGGAGAATTTTAGTCCCCCCCACCTCCACCTGAGGCTGAAGAATCATATTGCTTTCAGGGCATACTTTCCAAAAAGTGTGGCCTCTGTTGGCCTTGTTATTCCAGCTTGAAGGCAGGAAGCCTGCCTAGACAAAGTTAACTCCTATATACAAAGAGTCCCAGGGTAGTTTGTAGTGTGTTCTTGTCTCGGGGTAGCCCCCACTAGCTATTGAAGGCAGGCTGGTGATGTTGGGAAGGTTATATTCAGAGTGAGCTAGGATTGAAGTGATGGTGAAGTCGATTTTCATTCTGAAATGCTGGGCTCACTCTCTTAGTAGCCCAACTTGGTGTTTGCACCTGGCCTAGTAGACTCTGGAAGCAGTACCTTGCATCTCAAGGTGGGGCTGGTGATGGGAGGGGTGTGGAAATGGAGGATCAGCTAGCAGCCTCTTTCCCATGGTACCCAGACTGGAGGGTACAGTGCAAGCATGGGGTGAGGCCAGAGAAGACCCCTGAAGAGCTTGATGCCTGAGACATCTGGGGGAAGCCCCGTCCTTCTTGCTGGATTCAGGGGTGGCAAAAGCCAAAAATTGGAGGGCTGGGTGCAGTGGCACATGCCTGTAATCCCTACACTTTGGGAGGCCAGGGCAGGAGGATCGCTTGAGATCAGGCTGGGCAACATGGCGAAACCCCGTCTCTACAGAAAAAAAAATACAAAAATTAGCTGGGCGTGGTAGTGTGGACCTGTAGTCTCTGCTACTTGGGAGGCTGAGACGGGAGGATGACTTGAGCCCAGGAGGCAGAGGTTGCAGTGAGCCGAGATGGCACCGCTGCACTCCAGCCCGGGCAACAGAGTGAGACCCTGCCTCCAAACAACAATAACAAAAACATCGGAGGCTTCGGCTTTGGCTTTGGCTTCGGCTTCGGCTTCGGCTTTGGCTTTGGCTTCGGCTTCGGCTTCATCTATTACACAGGGACGCCTTTTCAGTGGGAAGGGAGCAGCGGTGCTGGGCTCCTACCAAGGAGACTGTCTGCTCCCTGGACTTGGGGCTGTGCCTGGCTCCTTTCTGCCCCACTCTCAGGGATATGAGTGCCTCCAGGTCCACAGGAGGTGACAGCCAGCTTGCGTGCTGGGACTGAGGCAGGGTTAGTTTCAGAGCACTTTTTTCATAAGGGTGCTTATTCTTCCTCAGGGCCTTGGCGGATTATGAGGGGAAGAATGTGGCCACCAAGGTCAGAGAGGCCTGGCAGGAGAGGCCTGGAGCCCCAGGAGGTGCCCAAGGAGACCCAGCTGTACCCACTCAGCAACCTGCAGATCCCAGCACCCCAGAGCGGCAGAACAGCCCCAGCGGATCTGAGCAACTTGTCAGACGAGAGAGCTGTGGCAGCAGGTAAGGGCTGAGCTGCAGTGGACTCTGCCTCTAGAGCCTGTGTTTTTGTTGGGGTCTGCGACCCAGGTAGGAACCACTTGCCCACACCCTGTGCCAATACCCAACACATTGCACACCCAGGTGCCTGTTCTGTAAGTGGGTCATGGTGGTGATTCCCTGGTCCTAGAGCAGTGTCATCAGGCTTCTTGTGGCTCAAGGGGCCGGGAGGGGACTGTGATAGGAGGATGTGTCTGTCCCCAGGTGTGAGAAGCCCTGGCTAATTCCCAATGCATGGGGCAGGAAGGAAGGCTGTCTCTCAGAGTACAGGTGCTCTACAGGTGGGGGTCCTGGGCAGAGTGAGGGCAATTTGTGTGGTGTGCATAAAATGCCATTGTCAGAGAAGGACAGAGTGTGAAAGAGCAAAAAAGAAAGAGGGTACAAGTGCAAAAGAGTGACGGAGTGAAGCAGAGAGAGAGAGAGGCCAGAGGGCGAGAAAGGGAGCATGGGTAAGCAGGCATGAGAGAGTGACACAGGATGTGACTGGCCATGTGTTGATGTGTGCCAGCGTGCATGAGCAAGAGGACAAGCATGCCTGTTACTGGAGCTGACCACGTGGCATTGGTGTGAGAATTTCAAGTCAGGCTCTCTTGAAGGCATCTCGCCTGCCAGCGCAAACACTGCATGTCCATGCAGCTCTGGACACGTCAATAGACCAGTGATTCCAGGGGTGCAAAGCGAACAGTTTCTTAAACAAGACAGAAATGTAGAAGGAGAGAGCTAAGACTCGTATTGCCCCAAGAGAGGAGCTGGTGGAGTCCAGCAGGGTATTTGCTGTGGGGAGCAGGTGGGGCCTGGGGCTCCTTTTGCAGGGATGAAAGAAACACAGTTATCTGCCTTCTTTGTTCTGGGGCTTCGTGTACCACAGAGGTTCCATAATTATTAATAGTTAGATAGGGAGGATATTTTTAGGGCCTGGCTCAACTGTTAGATAACAAGTTTTACCTTCTAAGAATATCTAGCCCATCTTTGACTCCTTGGCCCCAGGCCCTGGAAAGGCCCAGTCCAAAAACAGAGTGAACAACCTTGCACTTCCTGTCACATCGTGTGGCTTCTGGAACTAGTCAGTGTTGCATGCAGTGAAGAGATACAAAAAGTGGGCTTGTGGATGAAGGAGGAGGTGAGTGGTTCTGGGCTTTGTTTTTGTTTTGCAGGGGGAGTGTCAAGAAAGGCTTTCTTTACAGGGAGAGTGATGTTGGAGCTGGGTCTGGAAGGCTGAGGGAGATTTTGCCAGATGGATGTGCTTGGGAAGGCATTCCAAGTAGAGGCTCACAAAGTGTATAGGGAACATCCAGTCAGTAGCCATCACAAAGGAGGGTTAATCCAGCCTGACTTGGCAGGAAGCACTGAGTAGGGGCTGGGCAGGCACCTGCTCCTAGGCTGAGGAGTGTGACCCACGTCCTGAGGGCCCTGGGAGCCACTGATGGTTTTCCTGCAGGAGAGTGCCACAGCCAGACTTGAGTCCAAAAAAGATCCCTCCATTGCCCTGTGGAGGACCAGGCCAGGGGAGTATATGACAAGACAAGGCAAGAGGCCTTATTGGAGACTGTTTGTTTACACCAGGGCTGAGGTGATAAGGCTGCAAGTATTTTTGACTTATTAAAGGTAAAAGTGGGCTTGGCGTGGTGGCTCATGCCTGTAATCCCAGCACTTTGGGAGGCCGAGGTGGCAGTATTGCTTGAGCCCAGGAGTTTGAGACTAGCCTGGGCAATATAGCGAGACCCCGTTTCTACAAAAAATTTAAGAACATTAGCCAGGTGTGGTGGCACATGCCTGTAGTATCAGCTACTTGGGAGGCTGAGGTGGGAGGATTGTTTGAGCCTGGGATGTCAAGGATACAGGGAGCCATGTTCCTGCCACTGCACTCCAGCCTGGGTAACAAAACAAGATCCTGTCTCCAAAATAAAAATTAAAAAAATAAAGTAACAGTGAGGGAAAAGCCAAGGTTGCTTCCCAGATTTCAGGGCTAGGCAACTAGATGGGTGGTGACAGGAACTAGCTGGGGGTAAGGAGTTTGGGGGCAGGCCTGCTGAGAGATGCAGAGAGATGATAAGGTCATTGGGCCATGCCGAATGAGAAGTGCCTGTAGGGGGCTCCAGCCAATGATGTTCAGTAGATTACTGAGTAAACAAATCTGGAGTTGAGCAAAGATCTGACCTGGGGCTAGAGAGCTGGGAGTTGTCAGCTCATAGGAAGTCGCTGAAGGGAATGGATGAGGTTGCCTGGAGAATGCCTTTGGAAGGCAGTGTGTACAAAGCATGTATTCTCGACTTTTCTCTGCAAGCTTCCAGGGCCACTTGTCCAGCTAGGCCCTTGGCTGGGTGGGTAAGTCCACGTGGTTCACGGGTGCTGAGGGAGCCTTCTTTTTGGGGTATACATCTAAAGCCACCTGCTTCATCAGCTGACATTTATCTCCATTTTCTGCTCTTCTTTTGTCTCAAAAAGAAAAAGAGGGGATATTAATTATTGATCCCCTAAAACCCTAGCTGAATATATAAAATGAAAAGAAGTAACAATATGAGAGAAGCAAAGGCAGATGGACCATAATTTTGAAAAGTAATACCAAAAGGTCTTAAGGAGGAAGAGGAGCTACAGAGAGGTATTGAGAAGGACAATTTTGAATAAATGGAAGAATTAGGAAAGACGACCGTCATGGAAACCAAGCCATGCTGAGCTAACTTTCCAGTGCGCTGTGTATCCTGAAGTAGGCCCATCAGATCTGGCTATGTAGAACTCATGACTACCTTGAGGGGAGTAGGTTGGGGCAGTGGGAAAGGCTGTAGTTGGATTATAATGGATTGAGGAGGGAGCGGAGGATAAGCAGGTGCAGTTGGTGGGGTACACATTCTGAAACTGGCCATGACGTGATGGATGTGGGAGGGGTGAGCAGATAACTACAGCTACAAGATAATGGGGAAGGTTCCCTATAGGTGAAAGCAACGTGTGCCTGTTAGGTAAAGGCTAGGCAGAGGGTGCCTACATGACCAGTACCCAGTAAAATCCTTGGACTCTGAGTCTCTAATGAATTGCCCTGGTTGACAGCATTTCACACTTGTTGTCACAACGCACTGCTGAGGGGAACTGAGTGAATCCTGTGTGACCCACTGGAAGAGGACTCTGGAAGCTTGTGCCCGGGTTTCCTCAGAAATTTGCCTTGTGTGCTTTTCTCTTTGCTGATTTTGCTTTGTATCTTTTCACTATAATAAACCATAGCCTTGAGTGTGATGATGTGCTGTGTCCTGTGAGTTCTTCTTGTGAATCACCAAACCCAGGGATGGTCTTGGGGACCCCTGACGCAGATGGGCAGGATCAGAACTTTATGCCATAACAAGGACTTTAGATTTTCTTTCAAGGGCAAAGAGGAGTCAGGAAGGTTTGAAGCAGGGGATTGATACGGCGAGAGTATTGCTTTGCAGTGGGCTCTCCAGTGGCAGGGAGAAGAGTGGACTGAAGTGGGCAGAGTGGAGCAGGGAGAAGAGGAAGTGCTTACAGAATCCTCCCTGTAAGAAATGATAGGGCCTGGACTAGGGGACTAGCTGTGGAGATGGAGACAGACAGAACTGTAAAACAAGTAGAATAGATCCCAAATTGGATGACAGGTAAGACTTGGGAGAGCAGTGAAGGAGAGGGAGTGACAATTTAGAAAGCCACATTTCTGGTCGAGTGACTGAGTGGAGAATGTGACCCCTCCTGGCTTAGGTGGTGGCCAAAGTATCTCTAACCTGCCACTATACTGCCTGCAGCTGACTGAGCAAATGCCTGGTCCATAGAGATCCCAAGCTGACAAGGGCACCTGTGGCAAGCCTCTGGCTTTCAGGTGGAGGCCCTGCCTAGGCTGGCCTGGCCGGATTGCCCTGGCACACTGTGCTGTTTTGCTGAGGCAGACAGCAGCACTCTGCAAGTGCTCTTCTCCTGTTCCTCTTAGTGGTCTAAATCCTGTAGCATGCTGGGGTGCGACTGTAGACAAATACCCTTTGCGGGCCACCTGGGTTCTCTATTTGCAGTCTTTGGGTCTGGTCACTGGCATGGCATCTCAGTAGGCTAGGTTCATCAGGAAGGGTCAACTATGTCATGGCACCTCATGGGAAGCATTTAGAGTCAGTGGGCCAGGGGCTTAAGGGCTGCTTACTGCTAATAGTTCTAAGTAGCAAGCATTCCCTCAGTCCTAGTCTGGGCACACGCCAGGAAGAAAGCCACTAGATGCCCTCTCCTAGTGGATAACTAGCCTGGGGTTCCAAGAAGGGCAGAGACAGGCAGAGTGAGAGCCTTCAGAGATGTAGGCAACGATAGTAGTAGAACTTCCAGGGAGAGTAGATGGAAAAATGGAAAAAAATCCTTGTCATTATTTTTAAATGTCTGAATTGACCAGATTAGAATCTTTGAGTCTAGACACTAGGGAATTCTCATGGGTGGGCCAGTTATCTCCTCCCTCACATCGGGGGAGAGTAGATAGGACCCAGCATGAGAGGACCAGAGGGCAGTCAGTGCTAAGGGTAATACCTTAGGCCATGGGAGATTGAGTTTTTCTTCAGTTTGCAAGTTTTCACTTTAATATTCCACTGTTTCCATCATTTCAGATGACTGGGGATGATAAGGACAATGTAATTTGGGGGATAAAGGAAGAACTCATTATATATCTTGGGTGACTTTACTGGGGAAATGGATTCCTTAGTCATTTGAAAGAAGTGGTAGAATTCCACATGTGGGGAATACTTGTTCTAACAAAAGCTTAATAACATTAGTGGCAATGATCCTTTTATATAAGGGAAAGCTTCAAGCCAGTGAGAAAAACATAAACTAGTAAGAACATATTTATAACCATGAGATTTGGATGCAGAATAAAATCAAATTGGCAGTTAAGGAAAGGTCCTAAACATCTGTATATTAACAATATTTCATCAGTGGGCAATGTGAATTTCCCATGGAAACCACTGGCCTAGAATACACTGGATACAAATCAGAGA